CCCCCCCCCCCCCCCCCCCACCCAATGTGGGGTCGATTTCTCGTCACCCCCACGGCTGTGTGCCTACCTCGACTCGCGCTGTTGTGGTGTCCGTGTTGCACTATGAATACTATAGTCCCTCCACAAGGCGTGTCTGGCCGCGCTGCTGAAGCTGGTCGCGCACTTCACCACCTCTCGGAAGGCCACCCCTACCCCTGCCGTCGATGCCGCCAACGTGAGGCTCTAGTCGGAAAACCTGAGACAGCGTTGTTCTCAAGAATTTTGTCGCTGAGGGCGTGTGCTTCGTTGCCTGACGGGTTGCAAGTTAGCGCCCGCCGCCTGTGCTCGTGGCTGTTTGGTTGTCTCGTGGCTATATGGTCGTACTCGGCCGTTCTGTTTTTTTCGTGCCATGCCATGCCGTACCGTACCGCGGCGTGCTTGAAGTGCTTTTCGTTTGCGCATCTCTCCTTGGGTATGCCTCTGGTCTGCGTTTGTGTTTTGTGTTTTGTGTTTGTGTGCGTACGCGCCACACCGGCAGCACATGCAGTCGCAGGCACATGTTCGTTTGCCTAAATCGGCTCGTCGCGAGCGATCGGCCGTACGTACATGCAGTGCAGCGTAGTCCCCGAAACACGGACCCCATGTGTTTGTGTTGGTGTGTTTTGTTTGTGGCGTTATTTCCGTTCTCTTTGCCAAAGAAACAAAAGCAGCAGCAGCAGCAGCAGCAGCAGCAGCAGCGCGAGTCAGTTTGTGGTGTAGTGAAACTGCCGCCCGTCCCGAGGACCATCGCGCTTCATTAACAGCACTCATTGACTGCTGTCATGCCTGTTGAGTACAAATCACGCTGTCGCACGAAATTCCGAGCGTCTATTCTTATTTTTGGTGTACGACCGACGACGACTTACCGTAAGAGGCGGAGAGAGAGAGAGATGACACCGCCCCTAAACCCACTTTCAAAGCTCGATTGCTCCACGACCAAGATTGTCTGTACCGCACCGTATACCGTACCGTGGTATTCCGTAAGAGGCGGAGACATGGCACCTCCCCTAGACCGACTTTCAAAGATCGATTGCTCCGTAACCGAATGGGTGCGTAAATAGCCCGATACGTCTAGGGAAAGCCGTCGACGCCATGTTTCCAACATTCCAATACCACCACTTTTGGTGTTGGCATAAGCTTGTTTGTGGAGCAATCGGTCTTTCAAAATCGGTGTAGGAGGGGTGCCATCTCTCCGCCTCTTGCGGTACCCATGCCTTGTTGTCGTGTCACTCACTTTGTGTGCTGCGACTGTTTTTTTGTTTTGCCAGGGCGGGGCCAAGAGCGCCAAGGATGTGTTGAGGGAGCTCTACGCTGGCGTGGACCTGCCGAAGCTGGTGCAGCGTATGCTGGTCGTCATGCACGAGGTACGAGGCACCTATACAGAAGGACGGTGGTCCCGTATTAGGCGGCTGGTATTGCTGCACTTGCAGAATTGCAGAATTCCACCTGGATATCATACGTGGATAGATATGGAGTACTTGTATCTTGTCGCGCGTCGCTTGGTAGAGCAGCCATTTGCGTTTCGGAGGGAGCGCCAGTAGGGCGAGATGGGGTGTCGGCGTGAAGCCTAGGCCTCGCAAGGCAGATGGTGCGGTCCTGCTGGCGTGTTGTGCCTACGGCCCAGAAACCTTGTAGACTACGCAGACAATACCTACATATGTGGGAGGATAAAACACGTGTTTGTAGTTGGGTTTTTCTGCTTTTTTGTGATTAGTTTTTGTTGCCCCTGCTGCCTCATGTTGGAGAAGTTGTTGAAGACAGTGTCCCGCGACAACCACATGTCAACAGGGTACACATAGAACAACAGCTATGTTCACGTTCGGGTCCTTCGATGCCAGACCTCTCTTTTTCCTCGTCACACCGCACTTCCTCGCTGCGCCTTCTACCCCGAGTGGTTGATCGCTCAACTTGTTTCTACTGTACTGCTCCACTTGTGTACTGTATTGTGCTGTACTATATTGCACAACAGGTGTCCAGGCCGACGGCAGAGACTGGGCGAGAACGCACAGGCTTTGGCGGCCTCGATTCCGATGCCAGGTACTGCTGTTTCCCTTTTTTTTGTTCCCGTTTCGTCGATTAAAGGGGTCCAGTTCTGCACCGTCGGTACCACGCTCGGTGTTACATTACATAAGGACAATCTCCCCATCCAACTTGGTTCGGTGCTTACTGCCATATACCTTTAGTTTTTTGCTCGAGAACGGTTCAGCTGTCCTTGTCTCGTGTACAGTATATCCAAGCACGAAGTATTTGAAAACGAAGCTCTTGACCTGTCCACTCCGATAACCTTCTACTCAAGGGTTGGTGCACAAGAGGTGACCGTAGTCGCTGGCGGCAAGGGAATTCCCGTGTCTACTTCTCGGGCACATTCAGAATACAACTTGTCTCGGCTTGCAAAATGACCGGGTGATCATGCGGTAGAGACGGCGCGAATACTTGGTCAATTCGCGAAGAGTTTGAAGGATTTCCAGGGTGACTCTGGGTGGAGTGAAGTCAAGTGAAGCAGTGCTGCATCAGCCAGAAGCCGGCGTTGTGTGCCTAGGTTGTGTTGTGTTGTACTTCACCAGTTGCGACCAGGTCCGTTTTTTCATCATTTTGTCAATTCCGGTGCCGAAGACAGCTTTATGTCATCATCGCATCACAACCCTCCCCCCCGGTCGGCACGTGACCATCTCACCTCTTGCGCTCTGGACCCCCTACGCATCCCCCTTACTCCATGGTGCCCCCACCCCACACCCCACTCATGAAATAGGTATGGTCACCACAACGCGCCCTCGGCCCTTGCTGTTGCCGCCGTGGAGGAAGCGGACGGCAAACACCGACCACCACCCCAGGCAGAGGTGCGTCGTTCGACGTTTGTTTCATCGATGGTGGTGTGCGAGGTCACGGCGCACGGTAATGGCGTGCTAAATTAGCCCTGGAATGTTGTGTGGTGTTACACGCGGTCCCCTCCCCGCCTAGCTCTTGCTTGCAGTAGGTGGGAACAGCATGGGGGAACAACATGTCTTATTGCTCAGAAACACATATGGCACACACATGCAGCCGAAAGAGGTTCGCTCTGCTTGGTGTACTATACTACAATAAGGTTCAAAGATTGTACACACACGAAAACAGAAAGACGAAGCAGCACCACGCTAACACACTTGATGTGATACCGATGCTGCAATTAGGGAGTTACGGCGCGGGTTAGTTTTTTATTCAAGAGGTCCCTTCGCTGTTCCCCCAACTTGGCGTGTCGGTCGCCGCCGCCGGGTCCGGCGACATGTTTCATCAGGTGGTGCAGCACACCATGTCTCTGTTGGGCACGCTTACCGAGCTTCAGCCGGAGCTGTCCTCGGTGATGCTCTCGTCTCCCGGCCTCGGGCCTGCGTTGGAGTTCTCCCTGCTGCACACGCCGGAGAAGCTGGTGCGGAGGGAGGTCTCGACCGGAGTGCTAAGGATGGCCATATCGCTACGAAAGACCTCGAAGGTATTTCAATCTCTTTCTATGCCATGAATGCAACGGTGTACCGTGCCATTCAATGTTGTAGTCGTAGTGCGTTCCCTTCTGTTCGCCGTGCTCCTTGCGCACTACATGCAGATGCTTGGCCAACTATTGAGCGTGTTGAGAGGGTGGTTTGTCTCTTTATGTAACGTTTCCAAGTGAAAGAAGGGCGTGATTTGTCTTCCAGCCTCGCGTCTCTCTTTTTCCCTCTCGGTTCTATCGTCTGTATGTATGGTCTTCCACCCGGCGTTCGGGTCATTTGATGTGCACATTGGAACGGGTAGCCGCCAACATATGTTGAGACTTGGTACACTGGTTCGGTTCGTTGCTTCTGTGTCACCCTGCGGCCTGTCTCCCCTTGACCTTCATTTTCGAACGCTTTTTGTGTGTGTTTGTCTCTCTCTCTCTCTCTCTCTCTCTCTCTCTCTCTCTCTCTCTCTCTCTCTGTGTGTGTGTGTCTTGTTTCTTCATTGTGATGCGTCGGTTGGCACCTGGGCTGAACTGAACCGGTTGGCGTGTGGTCCCAGGAGGACTCGGTGCAAGTGTTACTTCGACTGCTGCTTCCCTTCCTTCCCGAGGTATGATGCATTTCGTACGGTCTTGATCATGATCGTCACAAATATTTCCTGATAAAACTATGTGTTGTGTGCATGTCAACACAAAACACAGCAAGTACCTAATATAGTAAGAGAGAGGTTCGTACCACAGCAGAATTATGCCAGCATGACGCTCGGCTCCCCCCCCCCCCGCCTCCGGTGTTGCCTACTAGACGAGCAGGCACACGTGGTGTCAACCCCACGACGCCCCCTCGTTCACCGCTTGCGATGTCGGTGCATATGTACCTCAAACGCCATCTAAATAGACCCCGCTTGTGTCGCGTGTTAGTCGCGTGCGATCTGGTTGTCGATGTTGGGTGGAGCGACGTGGCGGCGTTTGGCGTCGTGTCTTGTGAACCGATTGCGGCGTGTGTGTATATATTGCGCCGCGTCGAAACCGTCACGTGGTTTTGTTGTGCCGTGTGAAACCGTCATCGTGCTGGTTCGAATGGCAGGTGGAGCAGTACGAGAGCAGATGCGACACCTACCTCAGCCTCGTGGGCTGGTTGATCGGACAGTCCAACGCCATGCCCCCGAATGAACAGGCTGACCTCTGCCTCCACCTCGCCGATCTCATCTGCGCAAGGTTAGTCAGACTACAACCACCTTGTTATCCTAGCATCCTTGCGAAGTTTGATCGCTCTACCCGGGTTAGTTTTTGTATTTTTGGCAGTGTGTTTTACTGTGTTGGCCTTATGGTTGTATGAGCTAGCTTCGTTCGGCGCGAAGCCCATTGCTTTGAAGTGCACCACCGGACAGCAGTGATTTCCGTCAAGCCTTCCCGGCCTCAACTGCGCGGAATCTCTCTGGTGATGTCGGCCTCCGATGAATGCATTTCTCGGTTTTGTAGCAGAACGGCACTATAATGCATGTAGTCACAGTGAGTGCAACATGTTCCATGCTTTATCAGATACCCCTCAGCACGTAAAATACAAATGATTTGTTGGCTTTGCCTCAGTTGTGATGCTTGTCCTATTGTGTCTGCCGGCCACGCCCATTGGCCAAGTCGGTGGGCGAGACATGATGACAGCAGTCCCAATCAATCTGCCCACACCGCGGAACAAGTCGGACCTGTGCCCGTGACTCTACCTCTCTCTCGTTCTCTCTCTCTCTCTTCTCTCTCCGTTGTCCTCTCTCATCTGTCTATCTCTATCTGTCCCTTGTTCTCCCTCTCTTTTTCCCGCTATATCTCCGTCGCTCTCTCTCTCTCTGTGTGTGTCTGTGTATCTGTATGTGCTCGTTAATCCTGGCATAACAACCACACGGCACCAAACAGGCCGGTGGTGGAGCAATCCGAGGAGGACCAAGACCCCGTCCTGGCGGGATACATGACCTTCCTCAAGAAGGCCCTCAAGACCCTCCCGGACTGCCGTCGAGCGGAGGTCAAGGCGACGGCGGGGGCGGACGTCATCCCCCCCCCGCCTCCGCCGGCGGCGGCAACGGCGGCAGCGCCGACAACTCCGTCAAGAAGAACTTCGGCGACGGCAGCAGCAGCAGCAGCAGAAGGCGAAGCCGGTGTCGGTTCGCCGTCGGCGGCGGCGACCAGGGCGGTGGCGGCGGTTACGACCGCGGCCGGACAGCTCGTCGGAGGCATGTGGGGGGCGGGGAGAGCGACGAGGGGGGGGAGGCAGGAGGAGGGGGAAGGGACGGCGACGGGGGGCGGCGGCGGGGGGCGGGGACTGGTTCGGGAGCTGGTGGAGCGGTGTCTGTTCTCGCTCCCTCACGAGAGGGGTAGTAGCACCGTCTCGTCTTCTTCTGGGAGCGGTGTGGAGGGCGGTGGTGTTGGCATGCTTCGCGGGGGGGGAGCAGGAGATGTTTGTGCTGCTGTGGGGGACGATGATGGGGTGAGAGACAGATATGTAGAGGGAAAGAGAGAGAGAGAGAGAGAGAGAGAGAGAGAGAGAGAGAGAGAGAGAGACAAGGGGAAAGATAAGTTGCCAAGTAAGTCTTGGCGGGGTTGTGGTGTTCTACAGAGCCTCTTTCGTACTAGGGGCGGAGATGTCTCTCAGAGGTATCTCTCAGACTTACCCCGAAGCAAGGGTTTGTTGTTTTCGGATGCGAACCCGCTAGGCCGTTCCTGGACGTGATTGCCGACACCGAAGCTGCTGTTGTCCGCGGTTGTCACAGTTTGAGTTCAGGCGGTGCATGCTGTGTGTTGTCCTACTTGCTCTCTCTAGCGTAAACGTCCATTTCGTGTCAGAGACGTGTTTAGATTTTCATGCACTGACTGCTGCAACAGATTGCTCCGTTAAGCCAAGTTCAGTGTTCAGGGCGCTTGTACTTAACTTGGATGTGTAAATACTACCATAGTACATGTTGATGATCATGTTGCGTGTGTGTCTGCACCCTTCCCCCTTCGCTTGTGACGTCCTTCTCCGTCCCCTCTCATTGCGCTGCTCCGACGGTTTCAAGTTTGAGGGAATACCCTTACCCAAGTGCAAGAGCGATAAGAGCCGGGAGGTGGCCTTCATCCTCCTCAACGAGCTAGCGACGGGCTGCGCTTCCAACCTCGATCTCGTGAGTTTGTCCCTTGTGCGATCCTTCAGTTTGGTTGTTGCACCGAGCCTGCCTCTTTTCTGTCCAACACGCGGTGACGCTTCGCTCATTTTTTTTTATGATGCCAACGTGTTTTCAAACTTCGGGGTGACGTCGTATTTTTGTTTCATCCCGTCTCCCCGACGATTTGGTCGGCATGTTCTTCGGTCTTTCTCCTTCCTGCCTTGACCAGTATCAACCCACGACAACGATGTACTTCTTATTACTTACGCACGTACAGGCCGTGGCTCTGGTGGGGCCTCAGCATTTCCTCGGACGGAATAGTGCCGAGGGTCGAAGAAGAAGAAACGGCGAGCAGCAGGACAGGTGAACAACGTACTGCTTGCTCAACACTATATACAAGCTCTGTGCATGTGGCATGATGCGTGATTCTACTGATGAACCTGCACATCCTCCCTCTCTCTCTCTCAAGTGCGTACCACACGGCGGCGCCTGGATGATGAACCTGTACATCCTCTGTCTCTTTTCAAGGACGTATCGTACAGCGATCGATGCCTGAATGTTCTTGCCGGTGCACGTGATGTGTGTGCTCATGTCCTATTGTTGTGGGCTCTTTTCTCGAATACAGTGGCAAGAGCGGTGGGTGATCTGATTCAAACGAACGAAAAACCTTCAAGGCTGCGAAATTTGAGTGCGCAAAAGGTTTCACATTCCCTTCCTTGTACATGACTTATAAGGGGGCAGGTCGGGTACAGTAGGCCTCCAATACATCGAAGATGTTTGTCCCTTGGCAGGTGGGGTTGGCGGATACGGAATGCATGAGGCGATGGGTTTTGAAGTGAGGTTGAGGTCATGATGGCTTTCTCATCTGAAGAAAACCAAAAACGTAAAACAACGACAGCAACAGCAGCAGCAAGAGCGTCGAAATAGTGAAAGACCTCCGAACCGTTGTACAATCACAATTATACCAGTGGCGCTCTATCGACCGGCTAGAAGTCGCGTCCGTTTCGGAAGCAGTCCAAACACGATTTGTTCTCCGACACTGGCTGCTGCTTCCCACCACGCGACTCACTCCCGTCCCGTAATAAGGTTTCGATCGTCTGGCGGTATCGGAGGGACAACGTCGTCGTCACAGTCCGCCGCCGAGGATAGAGATCGGGACATGGACATGGACATGGGGGCCAAGTCTAGGGCAAGGGCGGCGTCGTTTGGTCAGCAGCCACACCACATAGCCAAGCACAAGAGCAAGACGGGCTTCGTCGGACTCAAGAACATGGGCTGCATCTGCTACATGAACAGCACCCTGCAGCAGGTTCGTCATATCTACCTACTGCTGTATGTCTCGAGCGTGGTGTTAGTGTTTTTTTTTTTTTTTTACAATCTTTTTTTGTGTGTCCGCTCAGCAGCGGTCTGGTCCATCTGAAAAGAGCGAAATGAAGCTTTCCTGGTGGTTCTGCGTGACATCCGTGTCAGTAAACGGTACGAAAACTCGCGTGTCCATTTCCCGAAGGCTTTCCCGAAGGCTTTCCCGAAGGCTTTCACGACAGTTAACCTGGCCCCGTCCTCGTCCCCGGTTCCATTGATTCGCCTTCGATACTATTTCACTGATATAATATGCGGCGATTCAGCTCTTCATGGTCCCGGAATTCCGAGAAGGCGTGCTCGACTTCAGAGATCACGACCAAACACCGCCGGACGACAGCCTCATGTGGCAGCTGCAGAACATGTTCAGCCACCTACAGGTAGGGTTCGACTGTCAGTAGATTCGATTCTGGTCTCGACAGGATTAGCGTGAAGTTCGTCGTACGCTTTCTTCGATTGTGAAAGTGTATTAACTTACTTTCGTAACAGCAGCGTTGTGACGGTAGTCCGGTGTGCCTTCGCTGCCGAGTCTTAAGACTGTCTACCGTACTACGAACGTCCTGCGCGTGCTTGGCAGTAGAAATTTCGTTCACCGGGTCATTTCTTTGTCCTTTCCTTCGCGTCACCTATCCTCACAGCCGCGCTCCTTTTTACGCTCATTTCATACACTCCTTCTCCCCTCCGCCAGACCTTGACCCACGATCTCGTCGGTGTCGCAACCTTAACCCTCAAACTGACAAAAGCCTCGCAAGCACGCGAACACCTGGCGGCAACACCGAAACGGCAGGATGCCACACGATGCTCCTTACTTGTAAACCAGGAGTCGGAGAAGGCCCACTTCAACCCGGTGGGCCTGGTGCGTTCGCTGCGGGACTGGGAGGGCCAGGCTCTGGATGTGATGGTGCAGCAAGACGCCTCGGAGTTCATCACACAGTTCTTCCAGCAGGTGCGCGGGGGAGGGTTAGTTCTACGCCCACGGGGAGATTGTACTTGTGCAGACGGCAGTCGGAGATGGCTGCGCCACACGCCTCGAGTGTGTTGGTCTGGTGTCTCTTCTCTTGTTTCAAGTCAAGTCTCTTGTCTTTTATCCATTGCCGTGTTTGCGGGGGCGTCTGCGGCGATTGGTGGTGCGACAAACAGACGGCGCTCGTGATACCTGCAATGTCCCGGTGCCGGTTGTAAGCGTAGTCCCGGCGTGTAGACGGCGACGGAGGGTGGCAAGGCCAGGGGGGGCGTTTGGTCCACTGCCATTGCTGCTAGAGAGGTCATGCTGGCTCAGTTCACGAGGGACATCTCTGCGAATCTTCGACTCGACACTGTCGCCCCCTCCCCCCCCCCCCCACTCTCCTCCTCTGTCTGTCTCCTCCTCTTGCCTCGCCCTGCGATGGGTTCCTCCACGCCGGCCGCTTGTTGACCCTTGCAGGTGGAGGGGCAGGTTATGGGATCACCTAGCGAGAACATCCTGAAGCAGTCCTTCGGCGGATTGTACAGCAACGAGCTGCTCGCTGAGGGGGGTCTTCTTTACAGCGAGCGCCCAGAACCCTTCTCGTACATTTCTGTGGAGGTACGGTCGTGCGACACTTTCATATATGTGTGGTGCAGGTTTTTTTGCATGACTGTCTTCGATTATTCTGGTTAACGGGCAAGTTAGAAAAACGGCGAGAGGGGTGACCAAACAATCAGCGCGTACCGTTGTGTTATGTGGCGGCGGTTCACGACAGCCCCCTACTAATAGCTCTGGCCAACACTTGGGTTTCTCGCAGATGATGACAAGAACAACGACAATTTGGAGGTTGCGTTAGAAGTTTCGAGACAACATCCTACCCGCGTGTGCGATAAATTTAGTGGAGACGTTCGACGAAGGGTGGTGGCAAGGGCCGGCGCAGCAGGATGCATGACCATACCGTCGCGAACGCGTGTTGGGCGTCCTTTTGTGCCCGCGAGGCTTTGTTGAGACCGGCGGCTTGCTTACTTGCTTGTCGTGTTTTTGTTGCCACTTTCCCAGGTGAAGAACATGAAGACCCTGGCAGAGGCTCTGGAGGTGTTCACCGCCGAGGAGGTGGTGAGCTTCAAGTGGGACAAGGAAATCAACGCCGAGACAGGTGTGCTGTGGCTGTGCTAACAGCACGAGCTACTTAGAAGTACATCCGGAGACGCAAGGGCCGCGGTGTCGCTTTGTTTCCATGATTGACAGCTGGGCGTGGTCCATGGCTCAGGCAGAGGGGTGTTATGCGTATGCCCATGAACGTGGCCCATGGCTCAAAACACAGGGGGCAGGCCTTCTATGCGAAAGCATTTTTGACGTGCAATTCATGCCGATCTGTTACGCCGTGCTAAGTATTGTTATGGCGGTGACCACAGATGGACAGCAGGAGAGCGAAACATGAAAATATTTTAGCCGAGCATGCACTAGCTCACAAAGCTTTGTTGCTGTCCGCATTGTGTGCCAAAATAATGATGATCATACGTACGTACGTGGCAGTCATTTGGCGCCCAAAGCCTTGCCATGAACTGCTGTAGTTTTTTTGGACGACAAAGTTGTCGGCCTTTGGGATGCAGCTCAATGTAGCACGCGGTAGGCACACGGCCTATAACTCCCCCGGCCGGTGTTGTTTGGTCTGATCCTCCGCACGGTGGATCCGGTGAAATTATTTAACAGGCGAGCGACAGGCGGTGACGCTCAACACGAAGAAGAGGTGCTCCATCAAGTCCCTCCCGAACCACCTCCTCATACACCTCAAGCGCTTCGACTTCGACTTCGACACCATGCAACAGACCAAGGTGTGATGGTTGCTTGACGTCGGTGGGCATGGTGTTTTGGCGGGTGTCGCTCGCTCGCTGATGATGAGAAAGAACCGCTGTGACGATGGGTGACGGGGTTGATGGTGGTGTGAAGAGTGCGACGTCTTGATCGTCCGCAAGCGTGCTGCGAGTTCTTTTCGTCCTTTTTTTTTTACATATGCTTTAGCTTAACGTTACTTGTTCTCGTGTTTTTGACGTATACTGTAGCATGAAGTGATTCGTGCTAATTGTTTTTGCATACATTTTAACAGCAGTAGCATAAAGTTTTTCGTTCTTATTTTTTTTCATATACTGCAGCGCACAGTTGATAATAAAGAGCGTGTTGTGGCGGTTTCAGTACAATAATAATGTGCCGTTGTACTCTGTGGGTGCGTGTGAAACACCCGCACGTGCCCGCCGTGAGCCACGAACCCCGAACCTCATCCCATTTCGACTCGCCTGCCTTGCCCGCTTCCCGCGTCCCCGCAGATCAACGACCGCTTGGAGTTCCCGATAGAACTGAACATGTACCCCTACACGAAGGAGGGGCGGGCTGCTACCACTGCCGCCGCTAGCAAGGAGGGGGGTCACGAGGAGGTTGGGACCGAGGGGGCTGATGCCGAAGTCGAGGTGAGCGGGAAGAACGGGGTGGGTGGGTAGGAAGGGTGTCTGCGTCATCTGGCGGTTGGCGTGGTCGTTGGGACAAGTGAGCAAAGGAAGCACAGCTGTACAGTACTATTAGCTGCTTTTCGGCTCACCTCGGTCGTCGTTGCTGGTGTTGTTCATCGGTGTCAGTGCCTGTGTTGTGGTGTGTCAGGCAACGCCCCCGCCCCCCCCCCCGCCCGACCTGCTGAAGACTACACAGTCGGAGTATATATGTAGTTCTGCGATTTGGCTGCGGTGCGGTTGCCACGTTGTCTGCTTATCTGTGCTCCGTTTGACCTCTTGTCGCTTTCGCTGTGTGCCGCGAAGAAGGAAGAAGAGCCAGCAAAGCCGGAAGAGTACTACCACTACCACCTCGCCGGAGTCGTGGTGCACATGGGCACGGCCAACTCCGGGCACTACTACAGCTACATACGTCCGAGGGACGGCGGCGGCGAGTGGCTGGAGTTCAACGATACCGTGGTGTCCACCTTCGATGTTGAGGTACGCTGCGGAGAGAGAGAGAGAGAGAGAGAGAGAGAGAGAGAGAGAGAGAGAGAGAGAGAGAGAGAGAGAGAGAGAGAGAGAGAGAGAGAGAGAGAGAGAGCTGATCCACTTCGTGGCCCGATGAAGACAGGCGTGTGTGATTGTTTCACATGGGATTGTTTCTATTGGCACTTGTGTGCCACGTCCGGTACGTGTTGGAAGCAGGGAGCGCTTTCGTGTGCAGATCCGCCGCTGCCGCTTGCTGAAACGAGCGGTTGCGGTGTGATGTGCGACTCCTTCTCCCTCTCCTTGGCCACGCGTCGAAAGTTAAGGTTGCTCACCCACCCGCTGTTCTGCTCTAACAATGCAGAGAGGGTTTCTACCAAGCCCCTCGCTGAACGAAACACCGCAGTAAGATATCCACCTACAATACTGTACTAGTGAGGTGACGTCGCCACCACCGCCCGCAACGTGCACAATACCCCACACGTCTCCTCCGAACCCCACCGCCCCAGGACATGGAGGCTGAATGCTACGGGGGCGAGGAAAACTCCCAGCACAGCACTTCCTACCAGCGCTCCCAGCACGCGCAGCAGGGCCAGTACAGCAGCGTCGTCAACGGCTCTGGATCCTCTTCCTCGTCCTCCTCCGCGTGGAGGCGAGAGAGGACGCGCAACGCCTTCATGCTGGTCTACGACAGAGTCATGCCGGAACAGCAGCAAGGGGAGCCGGGGGTGGGAGAGGGCAGTGGTAGCCGTCGCCGCCGCCGCCGCGGCCCTTCGCCGAGTGCGTCGCCTCGGTCCCTGTCGCCGCCACCGCCGCTGCTGTCTCCTACCGCCGCCGCCGCCGCCGCCGCCGCTGTCTCCGCTTCGCCGGGAGCAGGCGGTGACGGTGACGATTGGAAGCGTGGGGGGAAGGGGCGGGGGGCGGTGGTGCTGGGTCCGAGGCGGCGGAAGCGGTTCCGAGCGAGGGTCCCCGCGGTGTTCATGCGACAGATTCACCGGGAGAACCTGGAGTTTTGGAGGTTGGTGTGCGGCACAGAATTGGTCACGTGCTCTCTCGCGCGCTCTCGTGTTTCTGCTAGACACCGAACTCGAGCGCGTGTGTTTTTTGTTTTGACTTTCGCCGAACCTATGCGCACGCGCCCCAAATTCGGTGGCCGACCCTGTAGGTTGAACGAGCTCTTGCACACGCGGTAGATGGGTGTGAAGCGCGACGCCAGGTTGCCGCAGAGTCTCCATCCCTTTGAGTCCCAACATTATCCAACAGGCGAGAGCTTGTCGTCGCAGGACTTTGTGGAAGCGTGTGCGTGCGCTTGATGCCTAACACTTGCTTGTGCCCTCGTCATGGTTGCCGTTTGTTGTTGTTGCTTCTGTTGCTTTGTGAAGGAAAAAGAACGTGCTGGACAAGTCAAACTACGCTTTCTTGCAGAAGCTGGTTTTCCAGGCAACCGACGAGGACGGTGCCTCCACCGCCTCGGCCTTACGGCTAGCGTGCAGGTGAGCCATCGATCCATGGATCCATCGATTGGTTTGGATCCTTATCCTTGTGTTCATCGTGTTTGTCTTGTGCTCCACGTCCCACCTCCACCTGTCACGGTTATTTCGCCTGAGACCGCGCGATGACGTTAGTATGCATGTATGAAGTAAAGAGGGGGGTTTCGAAGCGCTATTCCTATCCCTTACCCCCAACTAGAACGAAGCTTGTTAACCTCGCGAAGGCTACTGTTTGCCTGATGAACTCCGTTAGAATTGCTGCACGAAGCCGTTGCGATGGAGATGGCTGGTCGCGTTGAGGCGAGAGCAACCCCCCCCCCCCTCCCCAGCGTTGTCGCCATGCAAAGGAGCACCGTATTGTGGGCCTTTAAAAACTAAATGCCGGTATGTGCCCAGCGAATCGACTGGTGCTAGTCGGAGGGACCGGCGCTACGCAGTATATTCAATCTACAGAATCAGTCGGTGATTCAGTCTGTGGTCAGCAATTTCACCGGCCCTATTCAGGCCACGGGCGCTATTCAACCGGCGGTATTGACGCCCGCCCCACTGTAGGAGGTTGTAGGGGAGGTATGCCATGTGACTCTCGTCACTGAAGGCCTCGGCCATCTTCGTCGTCGCTTTCTCCTGCTACCACACGTGAGCTTCGCGGGAAGGCGGGCCACCCTCTATCCCCCTTTCTCTTCTTGCCTATCCCTGATGTTCCCCTTCCTCCTACAAACACTCTGAATTCGCACTCCGTGCTCCAGCTCACGTTGCTAGGCGGACTTGACGATGTCCGGCTGTTGAGCCATTGAAGAGACCCTTCGTTTTTTGTTGTTGTCGGGACTTTTCGGTTTCCTGTGGTGGGGGAATAGAAAAGTTTGGGATGTGTGCATGCAACAAACGGTGTTGGCTCGTAACGTCGCGTAGAAAATGCTATGACTGGGCAAGCTTCGCAAACCGTACCCCCCGTACCGTGTACCCGCTGCCCGGCTACAGATTCACGCTCGGGACCCTGGTGCAGGCCCAGGAGAGGGAGGTCATGACCACCTGGGCCGGGATGGTTCGGCAGCACCTGCCCCTCAGGCCGGAGGCGTGCCGGTGGCTGCTGAACGAGCTAGTCGGCTCCCCGTCGACCGTGAAGGAGCTCCTGCTGTCGCCGGAAGAGAGCGTCAGGTACGCCGCGACTTCGGTCGCGACAGCGGCGCTGCAGCGGTGTATGCAGGCGGCAAGCGACGACAGCGGCGGTGAACCTGGGGGCGGGGGAGGGCCGGCCGGTGATGGTGATGATGCCTACACGGCGGCGTACGCTGCAGCTATCGAGGCGCGGGATCGCCGGGAGTTTCCGGGGGGGCAGGGGGGCACCGCGGAAGGGTTTGTCGCTTTGGGGGGGGGGGAAGGGGTCCCTTCCGCCGAGGCAGCGGGGGACAACGACGCTTTCCTGGCGCAGAAGATGGTGAGAGAATGGAGCGTGTAGGGGTTTGCTGCAGGGTGTGGCGGGAAGAGGTCGGGGGGGGATGCCACGATGCCACAGAGAGAGGTGCTGGTGGCGCACGCAAGTGCGTCGCGGAGTGTCATGTCAATGTTGAGTTACAGATCGGCGGCACGTATCTATTGTTTGTTTATTTTGTTTATTTTGGAAGAAGAGGGGGGTTGTGTGCGTGTTGCCCAAGGAGAAGGACATGTGTGCGGGGTTCTTGATTCGACGGAGCTCCGCCCGCTCCGCTTGGCCTGGGATGGGCGTTGAATACTCTGACGACAACACGGATAAAGAAAAACGCCGACCCGTACGCTTTTTGTGCGTTTTTCCACCCCCTCTCGCTCGTCACGCCTAACGTTGGAACGCTCCGAACGCTTACCCGCAGGGACTGTTGTCGATGTGGGGAGGGAGGCAGGAAGCGATGGCCCCTTCGCATCGCGTCGGCAAGGGACAGATTGGATCATCTCATCGGGAGAGCGAAAAGGCGGCGGCGGCGGCGGCGGCTGTGGTGGTGTTCGTGGACGCGTGCCTCGGTCTCCTCTCGGTTGCACCGGTGGGTACCTGGTACCTGCTGCTGCTGCTGCTGCTGCTGCTTTGGTTGGGGAGCGTAGCGCCGTATGTAGTAGTGCGACGACCTATGCTACCAGTCAACATGAACACCGTTGAATGCCGTAACAAGTTTGGTAGGGTGTGGGTGAAAGGTTGGAACCATGGTCCGGACTCCGTTGCCGACGCTTGCCTTGTTCTGTGGCAGCACTGCTGTCGGCGCGCTTTATAGTCGAGCGCAACCTCTACCAGCCACAGCCTCGAACAACAACCTTAAACCGGGCATCCTTAAAAGGCACCAACCAAGAGGTCCCATATCCGTTCCGTCGATCATTCCCACGCGACCATCACGGCGAGCACTGCAATGTCCATGTTCTGGACGTATTGAACTAACGCTATGGTTGCCGTTTACAGACTGGAGAGTTTACAGACAGCAGGCCCCCACCAACCAATCACACCCCGTTCGTTTTCCCACCCCCCGCACAGAGTATCAACCATCTGGATTGGGTGCGGAGCGAGCAACTCCTGTCCATCCTCGCCGTTACCGCCGAAGCGGGACCTTCGGAGCGATCCCACCTCCTACAAACGGGAGCCCTGGGTGCCCTCATGTCCATGTTCCTGGGTGACGACTCCCCCTACCCGGAGCTCGTGCGATCGCCGCGCCCCAGGCCGAGGCTTGTTCCGAGCGGGGACGGGCAGGTCTCATCCCCTGCCTCGCCGCGACGGCCTTACCGTAGTCCGTTCCCTCCTGCGGCAGAAGGGGCCGACGGTGGGGAGGGGAGGGGGTTGCGTGGTGTGGGGGGGGGCAGGGCGGGCGGGCGCAACGGTGCGAAGGAGTACTATGACGCGACCAAGGACTTTGGCGAGGTAAGGATGGGATTGATTGTCGTAGTGTGGGTACAGCGTGGTCTGGAAACTTGGGTAAGCTACTTTTCATCCTTTTCAATGTGGTATGCATTATCGCAGCTCGGCCGGGACCCGGGGTGGATGCTTTGGTGAGTATGTAGTGGGCGTTTTGTTTTTCAAGTCGACAGGGCGGTGGGTCGTGCCGTAACGGCTAATCGTTGGTCGTTGTAACAACGTTGGTGAGGACGATCAAGCTCTTGTTGCACGAACCGAACCCCGACGCAGCAGGTGACCGCCAGCGTTTTTTTTGTGGAGGTTGTCACAACAGAGATCACCTGTGATGAATCGTCCGATCAATCCGCCCTCAGACACTGCACCCGCATTTAAATCCCCCCACATCGAAACACAACGACTTGGGGAAAGAAAGAACAATGGCAACCGAAACGATAATGGCGACGAACAGCAGTAAAGAATTAATTGAACCAAACGAAGCTAGAGCCCCAAAAATATTTGATTGAACCACACACCTCCTTCGAGGAAGCGTGGTCTAACAACTGGGGCAGGCAAAAAATGAGCACGCCCCCTTACCGTCCCCACCCTCTGCTTGCAGGATCGGGATCTGTCGGCCCTTCTAATGGCAATATCTCCCCTCGTACTCGCCTCCGAGCTGGCCTGGGGGGAAAGCGCCAGCAGCGACGCCGGCACGGCAGGCGGAACGGCCGCCCCCGCCGTCTGCTTCTCTCCGGTGGCGCTGCGGCCGCTCTCGAGGATGAGCGAAGAGGAGAAGCAGGTACAGCGGGTTGTGTGTTGTAGAAGTAGGTTGTTTTTTTTGCTTGGGGGATTTTGCTCCAAGCGTGATTGTATGTGTGTTTTCCGTTGTATGGTGTTTATTTTGGGCGCTTTCTTAGTGGTGATCGCGTGTGTGTGTGTGTGTGTTTTCGGTTGAGAGGTTGGGTCTGACGCCGGTGCGTATGCGTGCTTGTCGTCATGCCATACATATGGCCATGGTGAAGTCTGCTATGCTGCTGTACCTTGTCTATGTCGTCGTGACGTAGTCTTGTTGATTTTGTCCAGATTGGCTCATGATCACCCCCACCCCCCCCCCCGACGTCCGTACGCCGCGATTAAATTCCCGTCATCTTTGGGATTTCTCGGGACTGATTGCTTCAACAGATGCTCACTTCTCCAGCATTCTTGATGCGTCTCATCATGCTTTTGAGAGAACCAAAGCAGAAGGATCAGCTCATTCCGCTTCTGCAACACCTCTGTTGGCGAAACCAGGTGCGTATGTATATCATACGCAATTGCTTGTTCTTGTCGTCACTCATGACATCACAGCCTCTTGTTGTTGTTGTTGTTGTTGTTGTTGTTGTTGTTGTTGCACGGACTCACTCCTGTGGCATGGTGGCTTTGGTGCACCCTACGCTTTGCTAGACCCGACGATGCCATGCCGTGCGAATCTGTGCTAAGTAAGCAAAAATTGCTACGACGCTTTTCCTTGCGAGACGACGGCGTGGAAGAAGCACGCACGGACAGGAAGAAGCCTCGACGTACGTACGTGTCTCGTGCAAGTACAATCAAGGTCGAGAACCAGGAACCTCGTGCCCTGCCGATCTATGATTCTTTTTCAAGCGATCCCGACCCAACCGCGTGTCCGTTGCTCCCTCGTCGTCTGACGATGCACGTTCCATCTTGTGCGCCGCAGCTCGTTACGAAGGTGGTCATCATCAACATCTGCCAACGCATCGAGATCCTCAGAGATGTGGATGCGCACCTGTCCAAGCCGGGATTCAGGGCTCTCATGATAATCTTGTCAGAGGTGAAGGGAGAATTTGTTCGCTGTGGCCCGAGGCCCTTAACGTGGCATGATAAAAAAAATTACCCGCACGAAGAAGAAAGGCATGTTCGCTGAGCCGAGTAGGGCTGGTGCTGTTGTGCTGTACTTGGTTGGTTGGTGCGTTCTCTGTGGCATTCAAGTATCCAAGCCATGTCCTGGAGCCTAAACATCGCATGGGGCGCTGCGTCGGATCCTGTGTTTGACGGATATGTCGTGAATGTTTGATGGATGTGACATGAATGTGTGATGACAGGTGCCGGACGGGCTGCAGCAGTGGCGACTTGACCTGGCCGTCTCCCGTGTCCTAGAAATCATGGAGGAGCACACGACCCTCACAGTGGTAACGGAACAGGTGAGCGAACGGCCCAGGTATTGACTTGACAAGTCTGTCTCGGCAGACAGGATCGGAGACACCTACCTGTACGGCTATCACGTGCAAGTCTTTCATGAGGTTGATGCGCTTGACTCATAGGCCATAGATTTTTTTTCCTTTCGCTGCAGTTCACTACTGACACCCCCTTGCTGATTTGTTTCGGTGGCAGGCTGTGGAGATGTTGGTGCGCCTTTGTCGCGCTTCGATGGGTGCTCGGCGATGGCTGGCGGAACACTGGGATAGACTAGATTGGGTGAGAGAGCGATCGCTCAGACAAGGGGCTATATTCTACAGTACAGTAGTAGGACAGACGGCCCGTTGAGTTCTTGATGGCCGTTCAGGCGGCACGCGCTAGACGAAAAAAAGCAAATGCAAATCGTCCGCTATGAAAAGGACGAGTCGGGGGCTCCCATTGTTGGTACGTTGAGAGGCCCGTGTCAGGACTACACTTTGTACCGCTTGTCGTCGTGAAAAACCAGCGCTGACAACCTGATAATGGCAGCTCTATTTCGAGGTTGCTATACAAACAGGCCCCAAGGTTAACGCCCTCTGTCCCCGTTCCGTGCTTGGACTAATTCGATTGGTCTGCGCCCCACTGCTGTGTAGATGGAGTCGTGGTTAAACCAGGCGATGCTCGCCAAGCAGAAACACGGCGCCAACGCGGGTTCCCGTTACTACGGGGCTAGGATGAACGGCCCTCCGACTAGCGTGTCGGAAGACAAGGTGGGTGTTGACTGGCGTGAGAAGCGGCGCAGGCTTTTCGATGTTCCATCGTTCGTGAAGCATCGTAGGAAGAAGTTGGTCAGAGGTTGAGGAGGAGCACTCGAAGGAGGAAGGAAGTATGGGTGTTTCCTCGTCTGCGAGGTTGTCTCCCTTTGTTTTGTGTCGGGCGCTCTAGAGTCGGTTGACCAATGAAAACACGCCAGTCTTGACGGTTCCAATGGGTTGAAGTGCGTTTTTCATAGACCGCGCCTGCCGACGAACCATTTAAAAAACCATGGTTGCAGCTGAAACACGAAGATACTTGTTACTGTGCGGTAGTCGTGGCCCCGTAGGTGGCGGATGGGGGGAAATGTCCATCCTCCGGACTACAGAGTCGATGGACGAGTGCTGGACATTTTGCGGGGTGTGTGTCCCGCTCTCTACGGTAGAATTACCGACCAAAATCTCCTCAATTGACAAGACCCGCCTCGCGTACTTGAAAGCGCGACCTTGCTCTTTTGCTGCACTCGGTTGCATCGTCTCACGTCTCCCACGCTCTCGCGCATGCTATGACTCACGTCGTAAGCGGAAATCGTGCTTGTAACTTGACTGAAGGCGTGTTTTCGTTCTGGTTGTCCCTTGAAACTTCGCGTCGCGGTGATGAACGGACGACACGTGAAGTCATACCCCGGGGTGTGGCACGAGGAAGCGTTGGCAAGCATCCGGGCCGTGCGGCAAGGGGACGAGATGCCGGCGTGTGGCTACGACAGCGATGATGACCCTCAAGTGCTCCTCGAAAAGCGCATCAAGGTAAGGGAGAGAGAGAGAGAGAGAGAGAGAGAGAGAGAGAGAGAGAGAGAGAGAGAGAGAGAGAGAGAGAGAGAGAGAGAGAGAGAGAGAGAGAGAGAGAGAGAGAGAGAGAGAGAGGTGGAGAGAGAGAGCACACAGGGTGGGTTTGTACGGACTTTGCCATCAAGGCCCTGCTATTTGCCCTTCGCACAGCCGTCAATTTCCGGTGCAGCGTCAACGAAAACGGGCGCTGTGCCGCTGGTGCGTCGCGGATAGCTTCTTTTCTCTCCACGCAGGCTTGTGGGGTCCCTCCAACTTGGCTCCAACATACAGCACCTGACATTGGAATCAAGGCCTCTTTCAGCTGATACCACTCCTTCTCCCCCCCACAGGTCAAATGGCGAGGAGAAATGTGGTATCCTGGAACAATCACGGAGTACAACCCTGACACCAACCAACACACGTGTGTCTATGATGACGGTGACATCAAGCAGTACGTGATGCCTACGAAGGCTTGGCGGTTTCTACAGGACGCGATCGATAGGAGGAGCAGTGACGTATTGTAGCGCGCCTTGGTTGCCTAGAAGCGAGAATGGCAGCAGGAACTCCCGGATTGGCCACAACAGCAGTAGTTGCTCGATCTCAGCGAAGAACGTGTGTCGCCGCCAAAATGGGGACTACGCGATATCGTGCGCCACCCGGTCCTCTGGCCCTTTTTCGGTTTTTGCCTTTTCCGAGGCGAATAAAGTGACAACATTTTGTGGTCCGTTCATTTGGTTCTCGTGTGGAGAATGCTGTGGCTTTGCCCTCATGGCTCTGTGTAGTAGTGATCACCTCATGCATTTCGGGACACTGCACGACGTGTATGTATGAGGATAGTGCTGGAGATCTCTCTTTTCCTCGTTGGTGTGTTTGCTTGAAAGTGGAATAATTGTGGAGTCATTTTTTCGTTGTGCATTTGTGGAAACTCGACTTTCGGGGGGTGAAAAGTGAACATGAGTTGCGAGCGTTGAGGTACACGTGAGTTGAAGACTCTTCAATGTTCAACGCACCGCGACTTGCGAATTGCGTGCCACGAAACTTTTTCTCTGTTAGGACTACAAGAAACGACGAAAATAAAGTACACTCGAACGCAAACGGCACACTACAACTACTCGCGCGTCCTGGACCCCCCCCCCCCCCCGGAACACACAACACACGCCTACAACACGACAGCCTTAATAAATACCTTTACTACCGGAACATTCAACCAAGGGAACGACCGCACGTGGCCATACGAGACTACTGGCACCACACGATAGGTCCATTTATGATAATTTATGATAAGCGGGTTACGCTATTTGATACCACCACCTTAAGAGTTTTTGTATAGCTACGACGTGAAGGATTCGATGACTACATCGATTCTGCGCTTGCAGATTGGGCACCCCATGTTGGCTTTCTTGAGCCGCTTCCCGCAGGGCAAGCAGACGACCAAGTGAGCGGTCTTGCCGTGGACCAGACAGGCGTTTCTTTTCTCCGCCATGCACACGATGCACAAGGACGCTTCGTCCTCCTCCTCCTCCTCCTCCTCCGCTTCTTCTGTAGCAGAGTCGCCTTCGGCGCTGCCATCGCCGTCCTCCTTTTCCTCGGCGGCGATCAATTCTTCCAGCTCTTTTAGGCGCTGCAGTCGGACCGCCTCCTGCCACGCCCGCAAGGAAACGAATTAGACAACACCATCAGCCTTCGTGACATACATGCACATTGCTCCAGCCTGTGGTCAGTGTAGACATGGGTAGCCTACAACTATTTACCGTGCTACGAAGACTCACCGCTTCCTTTGCCCGCTCCTTCCTGGCCTTTACGCGCCGAGCTTTCCGCTCCTGTGCCTGTGTGTTACGAGAAAGAAGCGTTTCAACAGTTTCATTCCAGATGTGTTGTCAGGCATGGAACTGTTGACCACGGTTGCAAGCCTGAGATAAGTTCTCCTATCGAGGAATAACGTGTGGGATTTGCCAAACACGCTTAGAGGCGTGCCTCCACGTTGACCGGCGGTTTGGGTTGCTTAGCATCGCGAAAAGTTAAATCCGCTCAAGTTTACTGGCCATTGGCCGACAGGCCCTCGACAAAACCACAAGAACAAAGTGCGGCACCTTGGATACCGTCGTACAGGAAAGCAATCACACTGCGGGGCAAAACGCTACTGAAATAACGATGCGCCATCCATGCCACACGAAGGCAACGCGGAACGCGTTTCATGGGAATCCTTTTTGTACTTGCCCTCCAAACGGTTGATCGGCGAAATCACGCGACCCGCCACATGGAGACGACCGGTCAGACAGAAAGCAGACGATCATTATTCGGGTGTGTACGAATCTCACATACTACTCGTTGCAAACGTCTAAGCATATATCCGGGAAAGAAGAAACAAGTGGTGTGGCAGGTGGCTTGAGAATCCTCGAAGATCACAAGCCAAATGTTCTTGGTCCACTCAAGCTCAAACTTTCATTCCCGCGTGACAATCGACTCATCCGGGCAAAAAAACATCCACTACACGCGCTATTCACACCAGACGCCATTGGCAGGACCCTCAACGGTATCCTCCGCTATTTTACCGATGCGTGGTCTCTCGCGGACGTGTCTCACCGCCTTGCGCTCCCGCGTGGTCTTGTCATCTTCCTCCTGGTCTTTGGCGTTTGGCTCGCCATCTTGTGGTCCGGAGGCCGGTCTTCGTGCCGCGGCCTTCGCCTCGGCCATTTCCTTGTCGAGGCTTTAGTTCCGCACGTATGCATTTGACACAAACACCAGGCACCGGACCCCATTGTTCAAAGGAACAAGGAGCGAAAGGAATTCGCCCTATTTAGAGAGCGTGCATGAGGGCAGGAGAGGAACCGCTACATAGAACGTGCGAGTGAAAGGCAAGCACTAACACTTCCGTCCGCCACGCTTTGCTCGGCGACTGGGAAGAATCACAGGGTGTATTACGGTACGGCGTCAACAGTCTGTTCCAACAGGGTTGAGACAACAACAGCGTAGAGATCAGACGTGAGCTATGTGGTTGGCGCACCCGGCCTCGGTCCGTGGAATCGTCCAGGCACCTACGCCCGCATCGAGGTCAATCGTGGTTTCAAGAGAGCAAGAAAAGCACGGGATAAAGATTTTGCAGACCGTTCCAAAAAGAGAAACAAGCGGGGATGCGCGTGGTGACAGAGCGACATACTGATCTTTCTCAGAACGAGAAGGATGCGGTTGCCTCAATCAAGACTTGTTGGCAATTTCGGCAGCCACAGGGAAAGCAGGACGCGTCACGTACCTAACCAACCAATCGAACTTCTCGTCAAGGCTCCTGACACGAACTGCCAATCGCCGTGAGCGTTCGGAGTCGTCGACCTGCAGCAGAAACAGGAAAAGCACAGGGTCACCGAAACCGGCACGTAATACGAGAGAGACGACTTTCCTTCCCGCCATATTTGTTGTGGCGGGCCCGGAAAAAAAGTTCCCGGTTCGGCTTGAAGTCACCACGCGTTTCGAACCGCAGACGCTGGGTTTGCCAGCCAATGACCACGTACCGAGCTACAGTGGATGTTTCGTAAAATTTACACCCATGCACATATATATATTGTGACTATTAATAGCACCAGCTGACATCATCGAGCAAAACCCAGCGTATAGGCTTAAACCAACTCAAAATCAGCCACCGTCAAGACTTGGACACATCCCTCCTACTGCTGTGGTTGCATATACCTCGAACGGCTTGTCTTTCTGTCATTGCATGAAAATCTTCCACAAAACAAGTCACTGGTGACGAACCCGCAAACGGTTGTAGGAGACGTTAACTCCCGAACTCACCCCGGGGCGCCTAGCCTCCACGTGGAAGTAAGGGTACTCCGCTGCCATGCCGGTGAAACTTTCGGAATCCGCGGGGATCACGCAGCACTTCTCCTCCGCCAGCTCGAAGCGCGGGAGAACCTTGTGCCGTTTCGACTGCTTGACGACGGCCGATCTGCACGCAGAGAACCGGGCACTCGGCTTGCGGCCCTCCGTCTTCATGCATCTATGTCGGGTGCCGGCGGCGGCGGCAGCGGAGGAATTGCTACCCTCCTGCGGGGTGTAGCAGTGGACACACCGTTCGGCCGGGTGCACGCCGGAATTGCGGAACGTGTCGCCGCCTTCTTTTGTCGACCCAGGAGGAACCTTAAACCTGACGGGGATTGTGCGCAAGGCAGAGGACGGAGAGCGCGGTACGGCAGGCGTTCGTAAATACACGCAAAGAAACCCATACCCAACAAGTTAATATCGGGGGTCTCTACGGCCAAGAGAGTAAACATATTTCCACGCATCTCACCATGAAGTGTGCTCCTGGTCGACGATAAGTTCGGCCGCGACGGCAACCCACTTGGCACGGTGCCAGTTGATGTTCTCGGCGGTGGGATCCCTTCCCTGCTGATGGCGAGGAACGGGGCGTTCCCAGGCAAAACACGTGAAAGCTTTAAAACATGACCCATATTTAGCACATGAAGTGGTACATTTTATTCAATAGCACATAAGGTAGTATTCAACCTACAGCTAACGGACAAGAGAGGACGCATTGCTAACGGGACGTGTACCCCTGGAGGCTATGGCTACCATTTTTGACTGCACTCATTCGGTGTTATTCCCAACCCCGGCGCACCAGGGCAGCAACGTGCTGCAGTGCTCAACAAGCACACGATACACCGCGTCGCCGAAGAAGTGGCAGGCACAATGGGTTGATCATGAAAAATAATATCAGCCAATTTCTTACACTTCTGAGGGCGCGGGTCTCTCTGTTGTTTCGAGTCTGCAACTCATTGATTGTCGGACAAGACATCCCTCGAATATAATCATACCTCTGACTGCAGAGCTTTTCCAATAAGTGGCTCGTCTGGCCAAATCAACCCATCATATGCCGCATGGAAGAGTTCATGACTGACTTCCGCCACAGCTTTGGTTGGATCAGTAGCAAGCAGGAAGCGCGCTGTTCTAACCTGTTGAAAATTGAAAAAACAAGCGATGGACGTTAGACAGGCACAATCGAGACCGCGTGTTCCGTAGGCCGGATCGGGTATAGTTCCGAAGACAGCGTGCTGCCCTCTGAGAATACCAGTGAAGAAGAAGCAAAAAAACGAGGGTTACCTTTCACGTTCATGTGATCGAACCATGTCACACGCATTCCCTCGCACATCCGCTTCACGCACTTTTTCACTTTTTCCCCGCGTGGCCCGACCATCGTTGGGGGCGTTTCCCCCTCAACCCGAAACGGCACTCTAAAAAAACGAACCGCAACAAAAAACGACGCGCGCAATCGATCGCTCCCGTGCGGTGCGTCTCGCGTGTGTCGACAAGAAGACTTGGGGCCTCTCACCAAGCTGTCACGAATGACGCCGCTCTTAGCAAGAATGAGCTTGATATGGGCCATTTCTTGGGATGAAGCCTTCCTCTTGAGCTTGACAGCAGCTACAGCAAGGGCACCTGCTACGGAAATGGCAAGCGGGAGCCGGCGTTTTCCATCGGTGCAACGTGGAACGGCCAGGTACCCATAATTGACCACGTCGACCGCAGGAACAACCTTCGGCGATAAGCCCGCGACATCGGTTAGCTGTCCGAATCCCGCGAGGCCGGAGACAAGAGAGCACTCCGTTGGTAGCGGCTGAACGTCCAAGCAAGCAGACGCACGAATCCAAGGCGGGCCAGACAATATCTGTCACTTTATATGCTAACAGCAGCAGTCTTCCACGTACGCACCTGAGCAAGCGTGGGCACATACACGGCGCCCCCCGAAGCAATCACGGGCGCCTGCTTTCCCGCAGGGACACGAACGGACAGCGCCGGCAGAGCATCAGCGGCACAAGACATGAGCACTGGTGTGTAGTGTAGCAAGAGTAGCCCCGGGAGAAGCTACCCAAGACCAAATTCGGCAGCGCGAAACTACCGTACCGATGATTGAAAAGCGAAGAGTGCCTTCAGCGTCAAAACCCAAAACTCAGCCGATTCTATACTTCATCCCGTATGTTTGCTTACCCAGAAAAATCTGCGCAGACTACTGCGCCCACACGACATCGTGTTCGTGAGGCGTGAGGTGTGAGCTAGTGGATGGGTTGTCTCGCCGTCCCATCACCAGTTCCTCACCTTTCGTTTTGATGTTGCGCCGTCGTTCCATGGCCATTTCGTTCTGATGACGGAGGTTCGAAATCAACTCCTTCACAAGCTTTGCAAGCTCCTCCTTCGATTCAGGGTCCGTTTTCTCCAACAGCTCCCGATAGCGTTTCTGGAGAACGGGCCACCAGTTTTTGAGATTCATGCGAGGGAAAAAAAGAGTCTCAGGAAGCGCCACTGAACGGAGGTAAATTTACCCATCCCTGACAATGTATGCCACGGAAACAACACCCTCGTCGGTGTAACTATGACAACGTCAAGTAGCCTGCACACAGACACACTGCACCGAAGATTTACATGGCGAGCTACTTTCCAACACTGGGGGCAGGCATGCAGGCATTATTTATATTTTTTCAACACGACCGTGCTGCTCAGTGGTGCGCCCCCCCCTCTGCTTTTACTACGAAAAAAATAAAACAATATCCTCACAGATGACAGTCCGGAATAGACAAAAAATAGCAATGAATTGATTGATTCATAGTGTTGTATGCATATGATGCCCCTCTTCGATCTCGTAGGTAGAAAGAAAGAGTCGGCCCTTTCGACGGCTTGCTCCCCCTTCTTACCTCAGTCTGCACCGACGGAGCTTCCTTCGGGGGAGAGTACCACCAAAGCACGAGGGACACCGAGCCCAAAAAGAGGACAACAACGAGATTCAATAAGTACCTGGAAAAAAAACGGAACACGCCAAGGGCAGGCACCGGCCAACAAGAGATGGGCAGAGAGAGAGAGAGAGAGAGAGAGAGAGAGAGAGAGCACAGGGTGGGATATTGGGCTGGGGTTCCAAACATTTCAGTCCCCCGGGGCTTTCGGACCCTATGAATTTTATTTATTCAGTAACCGGATCATCATGAGGATCTCCGTATCTTCCCACAGCGGAGGGGGCAAGAGGGTGGTGGTGGGGGGGGGGCATCAGACCGGTCCGCGTTGACTAAACGAAATATTTGATTCCGGTTGCTACACGTCCCACCATCGAGTGCTCAAACCAACCGCCAAGATAACCAACGCGCACCGCTCGCAAGTCGCCGAACCCGAAACGCGAGCGAGCGACTGAGTGAGTGCAAGCGGAAAAAAAAACTGTGCGCGCGACTGATTTGTTGTGAACAGCTCATTGAATAATCCCAGGACAAGACATGGGTCATCTGGCACACGACACGACACGCACCCAAGCGCGGCATCCGCAAAGCGCACGGACGACGCCAGCCAAGGCACTCGAGGTAGGCAGGCGATGGTCAAGTCCACGCCGGCGCGGTAGAGGGTGTACACAATCCCGGCAACCAAGTGAGTCACTTCCATCACCACCAGAACGATCTGCCGCCGATCGGGAGATGGATGGGCAGGGGGGGGGGGGGATAGAGGCATAGGAGACGAGGGTTAGGACTGGGGTGTTGCGACCCGTCCAAACCAACAGCGCGAGGAGGGATCAGTCTTACCCATGTCCTTCGGCCCATCAGCAAGGCTGCATCAAGCTTGGAGTACGACAACGGACCGGCAGCCGTTGTCGAGCTACGGGTTGGGAGCGGGGCGGGGGTCGGTGGATTCATGTTGGGGGCGTGACGGAGGGTGTCTAGAAGGGGCGTCTCGTGAATAGACTACACACGATGAATGCCTGGACTGCTGGCATCAACAACGCTTCACACCACGCGCCGCTATGTCGGACTACCCAATGAAGTTAGACTGGCATCATTGACGAGTCACAAGAGGATTGCTGGATCGACCCTGATCGCGAAAAAAATCAAAGGCATGCACTGCGAGGGACTCAAGAAGACGATGGCTTTGGTGTCGGCCATGACTCGAACAATCAATTGATTTCATGAGAGATGTGTTGCTGTAACGTAGAGAACAGATCGGTTGGGGCCAAAAAACATAAGAGAAACCGGGGCCACTTTTGAATGACACAACAAAAACAAAGCGGTGCGACTTCTGTCCCACATTGTCCCTATCGGTCTTATATTCCGGTCATAGGGAAGCATCATACTACACACACATCTGACGTTCCCTCCGAGGAAACCACGCGACTCACCGCCATCATGATGACTACACCTTTCTCCCCTAAGATAAGGCCCGGTAGAGTCATCATCTGAGTTACCAGCTCTCGAGCCAGCATGCTCGCCACTTTCAAGACCTTTCGCACAACGCAGCAGACAACGAGGAGCACACGCATGACAGCCACCTGCGAATGGAAAAGGGGAACGCGACCACGGCGATTGTTGTCAATCAAAAACAGCCGCCCATTTTAGGCTCACCGACCCGGCCGGCTTGAGCGATCCGGGCGCAAGTGTGCGCCAGTCGACCAAAGATCAAGGGACTCCCAATCTACCACAAGGGGTCGGGTTCAACATTCTCTCGTGAGCCACGTCACACGTAACCCCGATTCTTCAGCCCAAGGGAACACAAGAACCATCTCCCGAACAACCTCCGCCAATTCACGGCCTGACCAAATCTAAAGTCCAAGGTCGTGGAAAGCGCTAGTTCGTGTGTGCACAGAGGGAAGAGAGTGCTGCACTCTTTCCCGCACAAAAATCGAAGGCGAAACACATCAGGAGAGGTGGGTAGGGGACCTCAGGGAGAGGAACCCTTCTGTGTGACCACGGGTTGGAGCAAATGGCACGAAGACAAAAAAAAAAAAAATGGTCCTCGACCCCCCCCGCTGGATAGATATATTGACGTATTCGACCATACACAGGGTTGTCTCCGTACACGGAATTGTACGGTACGCGGAGTATGAGGGCAACCATCCTTCGCAGTGGTGTGTATCGACGAAGACACGAAGACACACGTTTTGACGCACGCGTCCCACTCGAGCAGAGGGGAAAAGCGACTTAGTTGAAGTGAGTTAGTTGCAACAACCAGATAGCCGCGCCACGATTCACACATTACTGTACTCCAGTCGGCACTCCTCAACCATCCCATCATCACACTGGTGCTACTTAGGGCGGGCTGCTGCTGTACAGCGAACGGGAGTCTGTCCCATCACGCCTCGGTCCACCAACATCAACGGCGGACGGCGGGCATCTTCCCCGAGAGGGCCACTCACCACTGCCTGGCCAACCCGCGACCGGTAGTACTCGTAAAGCCAATCTTCGTGGGCTGGGAGTCGGCAAGCAAGCATAACGAGGTACCCGCAGAGGACGATAATCCTGATGATTGCGGGAGAGAGAGGCGGCACACGCGGAAGGGAGGTGATCCTGCTGTGCGAAAGGGGCGCCACGCTGCTTGATGACCGCTGCTGCTTCCGCCGCAACAATGTGGTGAATCGTTTTCGGGCGTGAACGCCCAATATACCGCACTGTCCCACGGCTACGGCCACGTGGCCGGGAGGGACACCACGGGGTATGATACAACGTTGTGTTCCTCGTTTGACCGATCGCAGCTAGCGGTGGGCAAGATACTCCGTCCATCTCTGCAGTGTCCGTGCACTCGCTCACTGTACGAACAGGTACGCAAGACCTCGCGCCTTCTCTGGCTCTTTGTGTCCTTGACACACGCCATATATCTATTGGCGGAAGCGAGAAAACGCCGAGGAGTGCAAGCACGAAACGTCACAACTCACCGCAGGAGACCCGAAAGCTGCTGCACGGTGAAGGGCACGACCCAGAACACAAAGAGAAGCCGGTGCAGAAACAGGAATATCCGGAGATCTTCCAAGCACCAGACGTGCTGCGACAAGAGCACACGTAAGCACGCGTTAGCCCGGGACGGAGTGGTCGGGCGACAGAGGGCTTGGGGCGCGGCACCAGAGCGTGTGGGGCGGAGAGGTTAACACAGGCGGGCGTGGGAAGTACTTGCTCAACACGCCGCCTTCGTTTCGGATGGTCAGTAAGCTATCCTTGCGAAGCGGGGCAAAACTCAGAAGGCGACGAGCTCCATCTCCTTGCAAGGTTGATTTGGGGGTCGGTCACACACACCGGGAGAAAAATCCAAGCACATGTAGATACGAATCTACGCTGAGAACAACTGGCGCGTGAGCAAACCCGTCTGCTTCCTTCGGATGTGGAAACCCTCCACCCAGCCCTGGTCTCACGTGCGAGATGGTGTGAAACTCAGGGTCCATGTGCCACGCCTTGAAGCGATCGATGTCGCCAGGTGCCTGTCCCTCCAGCAACGTTAGCATGCCCTCCGAGGTAGCAGGCACGAAGAGCGTAGACCTGGCCGTGCCGTGCTTGGTGTGGAACTCAGGGACGCCTTCCAGTCCAGGCGGGGAGGGCGGCGGCGACTCGTCAAAGTCTTCCGAGAACTGCGATGCGAAAAACTCGGAGAGCTGCGTTGTCAAGACGGAAGCGCAAACAGAACCGGTTCCGAGCATTCGATGTCAGGGTCGGGTTGGATACAGCCTCCCATCCCGGCCGATGGTCGCACCCTTGCCTTACGATTATATATCTCCGCATATCGCCGCCGACCAGACTTTGCACTGTCGCCCGAGTTCATAAAACAACACAAACCAATGCGTCGGTCGGTCCGCAGGCGGCGAACAAGTCCCTGACAGTCGGGGGAACCGTGGGTTAGCAGGGCAAGGTCCCAAGCGCGTGCTCCGCAAGGTCTATGCACCCCAGGAGAGTAAAAAAGCTTTCCCCTAACACCAGCAAGGTAAACACACTGCCCGTTGTTCTTGTACCTGATAACCACAGCAGTCGGCTTGGACTCACGCGAAAAAAAAAAGAAGAAGAAAGCCGAAAGAAGCCAAAAGCGCTAACTACGGGACGTTGATGCGCACCTCAGACACAACCTCCCAGACCTCCTCGACCCCCACCACGGTCTTCCCGACGACAACGAACTCGGCCCCCGCAAAAGCTACGGCGCCCGGAACCACTCCCTTCTCCCTCCGGCGGAGGATCACGGGCCCGGCCATGGACGGGTTGATGTGCATCAGTCGAGGGAACGCATCAGGCGAGCTCCTGTACACGGCAGTGGTGGGTGGTCGAGGAGACAGCGGCGAGAAAAGGAGATACGGGTGTGCGTGGGACTGGGCGAGAGACGAAGTTGGACTCACGCACATCATCTCGCCGAGAATCGTGTGCGATCCTCAAAAGAGAGCGGCAATGAATGCCTGCAGGCGACACGGTTGACGTTTGCACTTGCCACACAAATTCTCACACCAGGAAAAAGCTGCAAGGGCCACTTCCACTCAACCGCGGACGGCGGGAAAACCGCACGGTGATTCAACTCAACCACAAGACATGTGTTGGAAACCGGCCAGACCGCAAGCTTGATGCTGCGGTTTAATACTTGCCCGTTCTCTCGACCGCTCAGCAAGTGCTTCAGCGCCGGGTGATCATAGAGGCAGTTACACCCGAGGCGGTAGGGAATGAGCCGGCTGTCCCTTAGGTGCTGAAGCATCCCCAAGCCCTTGACGCCCTTCGCCACGCCGCTTCCTTTCCGCCCTCGCCACATCCACCCGCTGATAGGAGACATCTGCAGGTATAGCCGGCGGGCCACGGTTAGGGGAAGACCCTTGCTACAGCTGTAAAAGAAAAGAGAAAAAGCCGACCGTAGTAGGTTAACTCCGTGTGCTGGTGGGATGGTGCATTTCAGCCCTACTACAACAGATGCCAACGGTGAGAGCCGCAAAAAACAACACAGATGCACTCTTAACGACAATACTATCTAGTAGCGGCAGGCGATGCGGCTGCCGTGCACAGGGCAGGCTTCTAACGACACGGCACGTTTGACGGGCAAGACAAGGACTACCAAATTCAACGTGCGACGCGTGTTGAAAGAAATGAGCTCAACATGCGCAGCGTACCTCGTGTTCTCCGGATGTAAAGGCGTCCACTTGCGCCTCTTGCATAACAACAAGAGGTTTCAGGCTTGGCGTGAACAACGCTGCGTGGTTCAAAACCCTGGCGAAATCCTCGTGATCAAATGCCTGCGATTTGGGGCGAGATGCTTGGGTTAAACATCGAGCATGTACAAGCAGTATGGTTCCACAGGAATGTGAAAGACGAATATCCCGAACATGAGCATACTGTATGTGAAATCTGCAAAATAAAAAAAAACGCGGCAGGCTTGCTGCACGCGCACGGACTCGTTTGGATCAATCGTACGCATTCATTCCACCCGGCTGTCTGCCGTTTGTCGTCGAGGATCCCTGGGTCAAAACTAGAGGGTACAGCAGTGCCTCAGAACCTTTGGGGGATCCAGGTCGTGGGATGAAATCCCGGCGAGACACTCGCTGCGACCTGCGACCCCTCCTGAGACATCCAGTGAAACGCCCAGCATCTGCAAATCCCGCTCCGGAAATTTCGGCACGAATTTGGATACGAGATTTCGGGGCCCATAGGTACTCCTAGTGTTGGTGCGTGCTCAGCATTGCACATAAGCTTTCGGGTATTGTATGCTCTCGCTTGATGTTAGGCAGTTTGGTTGACCGCAAATTTTGAAGCTAGCCCAGAGGCATGACAAAAAACATGAAAACGTTCGACGAACACGGACGGGCGCATGGCTCCGTCCACACCAGCAGATTCTTGCTGGAACTTGGTCCGTGTTTGAAATTGTTTACCGATCACTCGTGGATGGCTGTGAGACTACACACTCTGGTACGCACTTTACCCACGGTCGCGAACTCGAGGAAAGGTAGATGATGCGAATACGTATGTATGCATATCTAATCGTTCTACTTGTACAGAGTTCAGTAAATCACGGTCTCAAGATGGGTCAAGTGTGAGTGTTCCAACCCCAGTTGCTTTGATGAGGGTCAAGTGTTGCCCTCTGGGCAGCTAACAATAGCTGTTGTACGACACACAGCAGTGAAAACTCCATAATTTCAAGTGCAAAACGAATAGCCGTGCGTAAGTACACGCAACGAGTGGGGAGGAACTGCTGCCTTGTCGCTTGGCCGACCGGCACCACAATGAGGCAATGTGATGCAAAAAAAGAAAAAAAGTGTTCCGACTCGCGGCTGGGTGCGTGAAACAGAATCTACTGAGGTTATGCACCGAAAGTCTACACTGCTGGAACACAGGGCAAATTCAGCACGCTCACTAAAAGTCAAAGTTGTGGCTGACGACCCCCAAACCTCGTTTCAACCCCCGCGACCGTTTAGCCACAACGATTGTCAAATGCCCAGCAAGTAATGAACTGGCTCGCTCTCACGTAGAAAGTAGAGTTTAGCAACACATCATGACCGACCGCGCCCTGAATTAAAGCGCCTGCTTGCAAAGGAAAGGAAAAGAAAGGAGGGTGGTTGAGCCCTTCACGCAACCTCAGCGGGACGCCTCTGCGCTCCTCGCCATGTATGCACAGCAGTACAGAGAGAAGCAAGCCCGCGACCTTTCGTATCGCGAGAGATTGTAGGACAGAATCGAGGTCCGCCGAACAAGTTTGCGCAGGAAAACGCCAATCTGTGCGTGACTAGGATTGGGTGATGGATCCGACAAGAGACTACAGATCAACAAATTCGTATGATGGCTTTATTTGCACGACACGCCATGTGCCACGCCATGCCCACATGCGTGCAAGCGTAAGAGATGTCCGTGGGGTCGGTACAGCAGTGTACGGTAGTTTCTGTCAATCTTGCAATTTGTTGACATTTTTTTGACAACATCGTCTTGTGGACTATTCAGCAAGCAGCAGCCGAGGCATCGAGCTGCTGTTCCCACCAGAGGGGGGGCAACGGATGGTCGGGTGAGAGGCGAGAGCCGACGTTATTGCAAGGCATGGATTTCACCCACGCGGTCGTTCCCAGGCATTGGCACCGCCAGGACTTGCCTACTTGCACACGGAAGGAGCATAGACTACAATAATAATGCCGTTGTTGCATGTTGGTCATGTTGTCGAAATCGCAAAAAACAATGTTGATGTGGTTAATCATGTCATGTGTCTCGTCCCACCTGGAGTCCATTTTGGGTCTGCTTCATCCGAGCAAGGCAAAATTCAACAGCCTCTTGCTCAGCCTCTTGCCGGTTGCTCCTTAGATTCAGGTCAGGGCTTGGAGGATATCTCTGTGGCGGTTCCTGCGCCTCCGATGTTTCCTCGGCAAGCACCTCCTCGACATGCTCGACGACATCATCCTCGTTGTTGTTCACCAGCAGCGGCACCTGCTGTTGTTGGTGGTTGCTGTTGTCGCAATCCCTGCCGCTGTCGATCACACGAGGCACCCTCCGGCGTTGCCAGCGTTCAAGCTCTTCTTCATCTGATGAGGAGTCTACTAGGGGAGGAGGTCCATCCGACATGGTTTCGCGGCGCCGCACACTCTCTACACAGACTGCGCACAGCACTACTGCTGTTTTTTTGTTTTTTTGAATGGGCGGGGGGTGTTTTGTTGGCGCCACTCTCTCGGCTGGAATCTCCGTCGACGATCTCCGAAACCCCGGGGGTACGCAGGCCGCCGACGAAAACAGGATCATATGTACGTACGTACACGTTGAAATCTCGCATTTTGCGGGGAACCCGCGCACAGGGCGTGTCCGTGCAAAGACTATGACTATATGGTTATTATAGTCATAGTCTTTGTGTCCGTGTGCGGGGGTGTGCAGTGTGCAGTGTGCAGTGTGTGGCGCATATGACATGCATGCACCGGCACCTTGGATTTAATCCGCGGTATCATTATACAACTAAAGGAGTGTCCATCGTCCCTTTTGGTGCATGGGCACTCTGCAGCATCGACCCCCCCCCCATCATGAGAAACACTTCACTTCTTTTACCTTTGTTTGGAGAAAAAATAAAAGCTCTCTGGAAGTATAGAAGCAGTGTATCATACAAAAGTACCGAATTTTTCTACATAGTGTTGGAACAAGTCGCCGCTCACACAATACGCTCACTCACATACATACATATGCAGCAGATTGGCCGTTCGAAGTCCAAAACTCAAGATCTTGATACACATGCACGCACCACGTGAACAAACAAGGAAATAACGAGAAAAACTTTTGTATGGATACGACCTTGATACGACCAGAGCTATTAATAAAAAATCCACAAAATTCCACGCACTGGTGGCCAGAGAGGCAGGTTGGGCACCAACTACAACCTGGGGGGGGGGGGGTTGGGAGGCCGAGTTTATCCTTGAACCCATTTTTTCTTTCGGCTTGCTGTCCGCTGTGTTGGTTGGAATAACGCCACTCTCTGAGATGCGGGAAAATCTGCACACTGTGGGCTGCAACCTCCCTACAACCTGCCCCCCCAGGTTGTGGTCGGTGCCCCAGCCTACCCACAACCTGCCTCTGGCCACCGGTGCGGCCATCGGAAAACATGCAATCGGTCCCATCAATCTTCGCTAAGACAATACGGTGGGACAAGCAGGATTCGTCCGGTTTTTCGGTGGGCTAACGAATGCCCCAACCTCTCTCTCACCCCGGAAAACATATATATTTGTCCGAGATTATTCGTGTTCCTGCTGGAGCCGCCAACTTCCCGAGTACATACTTGTCTGATTAGCCATCATCCATGCAAATCGGTATTCCTTACCACTTTTCAGCTGCTCGACTTTGACCGCGACCCACCGACGACGTTTGCACTGTTGTTTTCCTCGACGAATCCCAGGAGCAGCCCAAGGTACAGTAGACTGCCCAGAACTGCTTATCGATCCCCTCTCAACCATGAAAAATACTACCCCCAACAATATGTACAGCGTGGATATGCACTCATGATGATATGGGACACGATACAAACCAACACAACTGCAACCAACATGCCCCCTGATACATGGACCCGAAGTCACGGGACCCCGGTAGAGTTTCAAAATTGCGCCAAGCCAATGGCATACAGCAGTACCTTACAAAACATAAACACACTCATGCACCTGCCAACTGCGCTGCTACATTACTCCTAGAACACTACAATAGCCAGTGATGGCCTGCCTTCAGAGCAGTAGCTGCCCACACGTTCAAGCCGCCGAAATGTGCGCACAACACAGCAGTTGCGCATTACTACAACTAGTGAGATGCAGCGACGATATACTCGGGTTCTTTGGCTGTGTTCATGTAAGTGTGAAGCTTGGAGCCGGGGTAGTCGCCGTTCTTGAGGTGCTTCAGGTAGTGCGCACTAATCATGTGCCCCCAACGGTTGGTGGTGGGGTAGACGACCGGCCCGGCGATCCTGATGTTCCAACTCTGTTTCACACTCTCAGGAGCGTTGGCTCCTAGCATACCAACCTGAGAGGTACGAAAAAAAAGAGGGGAAAAAGCGTGCCGCGGGTGGTGCGTTATACACACCGCAAGATCTTTCCAATACTCGATTGGATCCAAGCCGCAGCATTCATGCCGAAAAATATTTAGTGACCTGAAACACAGCGCACCCAATCACGTGTTGAGTGAGTCAAGCACTTCCTACGTTCGTCACTCCGCTGAAAACACTTACGGTGTCGCGCTGGTTGCAGATGGATTCGATGTACGGGACTCTGTCCTCTGTCTGGTCCATCCAGTGCGCCGCGTTGGCCAGGTTGTAAATCTCCAGTTTCTTCATCTCGTCCTGCATCGTTGGTGGTGGGGCAAATTCGTTCTTGTTCATGATGCACGGCCTTCACTTCTGAGGACAAGACCACATTCCAAAGCGTGCGCACTTGACGCAGAGAGCAGAAATACCATCCACAAAGGCGAAGCAGCACAAGGTAAAAGTGCCTCCGCCTCATCTGCCAACGACAGTGTTCACACGTACTGCTGAACAGAGATATCGCCTCGTGTGCTTACGTGTGTCAACTCGCCCTTGTCCACAGCCGTCCAAAGTCGACGAAGCGCATCGCTTGCGATGATGGTTCCTTGGGAATGTGCGATGAGAACCACCTGCAATGGCGACCAAACCGTGTTGCGGGGGTGAGGTGACGACCATAACCAGCTCTCGGGCCTTGTAGTGCGAGCCTGGCTCATCTCTACAGCTGTGGATATCACGACCTACCCACAGCTCCGCATGCAATGCATACTAAAGTAAAAATTTAGCCGAGGTTTGGTTTAGAGACCAAATGACCTGAGAGAGAGAGAGAGAGAGAGAGAGAGAGAGAGAGAGAGAGAGAGAGAGAGAGAGAGAGAGAGCTAGCGCGCACGGAATACAGCCTGTTTGTTCGCTCGGGCGTAACTTGCCTTGGTTTTCGTTGGGTCTCGAAGAGCTTCCAGCAGCCTGTCCATCAGGAGGGCGCACGGGCGACTCGTCGCGAAGCTTTGACCGGTCCAAAGTTTTGCAAATACGCACTCGAAGATGTCGACAATAAAAGAGTCTGTCGGGTTGTGCACCACGGTCACGTTCTTGTTGAACATTTTGCTCAACTCAGCGCCCGTGGCCAGGGCCATCCTGCGGGTTGTGCAGATTCCGTTCACGTAGAAGAAACTCTCTGGGCTACCATCGTCGACCAGCTGGTCGGGTGTCACCTGGCACAGGGGGGGAGTTGACGTATGGGTTATGGGAGCCAACGATGGCATCAAAGGGAAGTTGAGCTTTGCCTCAACGTGAGTTGGAAAAAAAAGTCACAACCGTTTCCAAAGGCACGCCGTTGTTGCCAGAGACGATGACCGTTGTTGCCGGTTGTTCCCGTCTTGCCCCGTGGACGCTCAATCAACGGAATTCTACGCACCACCCCCCCGCTCCATCGACTCAGCACGTCTCACCGTGGCCTCATCGGAGAAAACCACCCACGCAACCAACGGCAAGAGAGTGCGCAGCACGCGGGGAGAGTCTCCGGGAATCGTGGGCCGCACGAACGCGAGGAGCGTCCCAAACATAGAGATGAAGCTCGTGATGGAAGACTTCGATTCCTTGAGCAGGTCGTCCAAGCCGAGGTCCAACGTAAGCACGTCCAACCAGGTACCGGGCATACCAGTGATTCCCAGTATCAAAAACACCTGCAAAGCGTGCAACAAGACCAAGCCCGGCATGGTGCGCTTGCCTCAGCAGCTAAATACATACATGTAGTTTCTGTTGATTTGTTGCCAAGGGTGCAACGGCGACACTCGGAGTTGAAACTGGTTACGAAGTAAAGAATAGAGCACGCAGGTGTTGAATGTCCAAATCAAAACACGCCACCAGATGGGATGCAAGGTGTGCTGCTACTTCAATAGTCTACCCAATCAATGACAGGCCTCCAATGACACTGACACAAACGTGACTTGCGCCTAGGTTAGTCTCCTGCTGTTTGTGTGAACTGGGACAGGAACTCGTCAGTAAGAGAGGCAAGGCCGTTGGGCATTTGTAGAAAACTCAAGGCGGGGATAGACTATAGTCGCTGTCAAACGGGCAGCAACTACCTTGTCGCACCTGGTTCCATGCGATTAGCAGCAGGGGAACCACGCTACAACCTGAAATCGAAGGAGTTGCAAAGGAACAGCAGCAGCATAATAAGGCGCGCAATATGAGGGCGTTGAATAGAGTTGCTGGGATAAGATGAACAGACTTGTGTTTATATGTACGTATGGGGATGACGCTTGAACCCCTTTTGCCGAAATATTTGTGGGGAAACGGGCGCTGAAACGGCCGGAGTCTCGCCCCCAACTGATGTCTCTCTTGTTGTACATGTGGGTCGTCATCTGACTGATGAGCGGAAGAAAGCGGCAGAAGCGCGCACTGCAAACAGCAGAAGCGTGCTACCCAAGACGCGACAGCGGCCAGATGTTTCGATTCTCGCACCCAGAGCACATGCTCCCCACCGCTCGCAAGAAAGCGAAATAGCCAACACAACAACCATCATCAGCGCTGCGATGTATGAACGGCATAAATTGCAATCAATCACGACGGTGTGGGTTTGCGGAGGGACTCACAGACGGCGTTCAGGAGCGTTGGGGGTTTGTGTTGAGACGGAGGTTCGAACAGCTGCCGCATCTTCTCCTGCCCGTCCTCTTGTCACAAGTTCTTTTCGGCGGCAGCGTGCAAGCGGGCGGTCGTGTCACACGGCGCAGGGCGGGTGAAGTCACGCGATGATCACAAGAAGTGCATGTACAGATATGCAGAGCTGCAGCCACTGCAGCTGCAGAGCTGGAAACGCGGTGGGATTTATCGATTTCATGGGCGGAAATTTCGAAATTTCCGACATGTTTCTCCTGGGTCGCAGCCTCTTGCCTTATCGTGTGTGCACACACGATCTCTTGAAAGAGCATGGACATATGATGGGACGTACATAGTCTACGGCAGCAGTAGAACAATGCGATCATGCTACAGTAGTGTGATGTCGTACATGCATCACGGGCAGATCTACGTTCGACATGTGCTTCTCGACAGGCGATATGCGTTCACCACGGACTGCAAGGCGAGTCCTTCCTTATCTTGGGCTCAAGGGATGGGGACGACGGTTCGTCAGTGGGGGTGACGGATAGGGTACGAGAGAGAAGCAAGCCGCCCCGCCGCCACCATAGCAGCAGCAGCAGCAGCAGGAGCGGCAGGAGCGGCATCAAAAGCAGCGGCAGCAGCACCGGCGGCGGCACCACCAGGAGGAGCAGCAGCAGCACAGCGCGACAGCAGCAGCACAACTAAGACAGCAACGAGCTGGACAAGGTACTTAACTAAATAGCAGTAGTGGTCCGGATGTAGTGGCAAGAGAAAAACATACCACTACAGTATTCACAAGAGAAACAATGCCACTATTCGATATAGTGGCAATAATGCCCACCGTTGAGTAGTCAGTAGTGGCATTGTTGCCACCTCTATATATCGGAGAATAAGGTTCGATGCTTACGCTACGGACAGCTGTTCGTTTGGCTCTTCATTACATGTGCATATATCAGTGCTGCCGGCTGAAAAAAAAAATTGATGGCGGCGGAACAAAGAATATCGGCTTACACAGAAGAGCAGCGCGACCGGCGTACGTCCACCCAACGCTAAAGGTTTACAGCAGTAGACTATTCCAATAGCTATCTAGGGAACCAAGATTTGCCGAATTCGTCCACTGTAGTCTGAAAACTTGTCGGCGCAACCCGCAGCCCGTGCCCGAAAAAAACGTGCCGATCGTATCTACGCGGCCCAACCACGCTGCTGTGCACCCGCCAAAGAGACCAAGCACGAGAACTCGCCCACCACAGCATCAATCGCCACAAAAATTAAAAAATTTGATGGAAGATGGACTGAGCGCCAGAGAATAGATTGCATAAGAATTCAACTTAGTTAGTGCAGATGATCGAGAGGTAGGCACGAATGAAGTTGAAAACTTGCGTTCGCATACAGGCACCGTGCTTATGCCCTGCCACAGTGCCGGCAACACCGAGCATTGGTAATGTTAGCTGCTGATCTTGTGGTTGTATAGCACTTGGAATTGTGCTGCAATACGAACTACAGGTGGAGTACTCTTCAATGGCGTCAGCTAGGTTTGAACTGAAATTGCTGTTGGTGGTGCCCCCCTGTTATTGCACCGCACACGCTTGCTTGTGCCTGTTGGAGTCGGGACCTGAGACCTAGCGGCACAACTCTCCTGATTCCTGACGAAAAAACTGCAAGAAGGTTCGAGCGACTACTGTAACACGGCACCTACGGTAACAGTGAGTTTGGCCACTGATAACGTTGTGCTACGTGGTGTCGCATGCAGGCACGGTCGGCATATATATGAACACATTGAAGTACTTGTCTCGATGTACATGAGTACGCCCTGAGCATTGGGTGTGGCGAGAACGCCGGAAATACTTACACACGAGCACCGCACACAAGATCGGGACCCCCGGGTTGCCCAAACCTATCAACATCATGCCCGAAGGATACAACAACTAACTTATTTACAGTCAGTACAATACCGGCCCAACGCACACAGCACCCCAATAATAGGTTTCCGGCAGTTTGCCGGAAAAACGCGAAGAACAAAATACCATGCCAATAAACAACGGACACCCGGCTTGGCAACGAAGATAAAATACCACCCCCCCCCCCCCCCGGTGTTTGCCATCGGGGTTTGGGTTTTCGTCGCTTGGCAACGACGTTGTAAAACAAGCCCCCCACTCGGTGTTTGCCATCGGGATTGGGTTTTCGTCGCTTGGCAACGACGTTGTAAAACAAGCCAATTCACTTCGTGAACTCGGCAACCAGGTTACCGTTTTTTTTTTTTTTACCTCGGTTTTTTTTTTTGGCGGTAACCATAATGGTGGTCGAGTAGATCATGTTGTGCGGGGTCGAGAAACCTCACTCCGCGCAACGGGGGATGATCGCACCACGTTGTGTTAAAATGGTCAAGCTTCCTCGAGGCAGTTACACAGTGCTTACAACTGTCTCTGGAAGTGAAAGCACCAGAAAATAAATTAAGTCATACGTAGCTGTCATCCGTACGCAAGGAAGTAAGCACAAGATGCCGAACACCCTTAGCAGGATGCAGCTCACCCTTCATGCGACTCGCCAAATACCTCACGGCGCTTCGCGCTTGGTGATGTGAGAGCCTGGTCCGGTGAGAACCCGGCGTGCTCCGTCCCGGCTTTGTAGGGATGCGAGGTCAATGGTCAAACGACTACGGCATGCACGACTATGAGTACCCCCCCCCCCCCCCCCTCCGGGGGC